ATAAACTTTACAGATAATTTCGTTGTTTAGTAGAACATAAATATTTTACTTGTACTTTGATGCACAATGTATGCACAAACACATATATGTGTGTGTGCGTGTGCTTAAGTACATATATTTGAATTATATGCACATATATACCTCTAATATATATACATTATACATTATATGTGTGCGTAAATATTGCATGTATAGAATATGCATAATGTGTAAATGTATATTTGTGTATATAAGTGCGAGATGTGTCTGTTTAGATGTACGTACCTAGATATCAGTATCACTATTTATCTACGTACCTATAGTCATGTGTACACACTGTAGCTTTTTGCATGTGCATATACACATTTTCTGTGAGAGGTTAAAGTAGAGTGATGAGTTAGCAAATGCTCATCCCTGAGGCTAGGGTGTCATTAAGCTTTATTTTCTGAAGGTCGTCAGCCCACAGGGTGGAGCTTAAACTATAAAAAGAGAACGAGGACTTCGATCCGTATCAGTTAATAACTCATCCTCAGTATGTCTCCCAAGGTGGGTCATCCAAGCAAACCTAGTAGAGGTCTGTGAGAAATGGCAATTTTCGCATTTAGCATTTCAAGTCGTGTGCCCCTTCCTAATAGATTCCGTGCTATGTTCTAGTTCATCATCTTTGCTGCCCTTGTGGTCGTGGCCCTCGCCCGCCCTGATCAGGCCCCAGCCTATGGCTATGCAGCCCCTACACCTGCTCCTGCACCTGCCAAGTACGACTTCAATTACGCTGTCAAGGACGAGTATTCCGGTAACGACTTCGGTCACCAGGAGGCTCGCGACGGTTATGACACCCAGGGCTCCTACTACGTTCAGCTTCCCGACGGTCGTCTGCCAAAAGGTCACCTACACTGTCAATGGCGACTCTGGCTTCGTGGCCGAGGTCAGCTATGAGGGCGAGGCGCAGTACCCTGCCGAACAACCTGCTTACAAGCCCGCCCCTTCATATGCTTAGATCGAAAACCTGGTTTGTCTGTGATATTTATTATGTCAATACTTTTAACGTGTGTAAATAAACTTTACAGATAATTTCGTTGTTTAGTAGAACATAAATATTTTACTTGTACTTTGATGCACAATGTATGCACAAACACATATATGTGTGTGTGCGTGTGCTTAAGTACATATATGTGAATTATATGCACATATATACCTCTAATATATATACATTATACATTATATGTGTGCGTAAATATTGCATGTATAGAATATGAATAATGTGTAAATGTATATTATATATACACAATATATACTTATGTATTTATAGCTCCTAAACACACATGTACACATACAGATAAGGTGAACTGGGGCAACGAGCAAGAATAAGAAATTTAGAATAGGAGGATTACGTGGGTTTAAAAAGTATATATATATAGGAATGAGGTAAGCGACACAACCATAAAAAAAATAATTGATGGGATTTCGGGAAATGCTTTTGGTTCACTGATGTCTGTACCTTGGTTCAATTCCATATCGACAAATGGGCATTGAAACAAAGTGAAATTGCAAGAGTAAAAAGAATAAAAGTGTGCAGAATAGATGTAGACTGGCAAGAAAAGGAGACAACCGTGAGTTCAGTTTGTCAACACTCGGGGCGTTTGCCCAACTGCAGCTTTGAGTCTAATGCTGCACTTTCTCCCGCTTCCCCTAGGTATATTCATCTCACCTTAGTAGGGGTCACTACATACTGACTATAGTAATAAAGTGATGATGACACTAAAGATGACCGTACATTTAATAATAAGACTAAAGATACTGATGATGATTTATGACTAAACGCATGGATGCAGAAACACTATGTAAAAAAACAACAACATTGGCTTGGCAAGAGGGGAGCACAATGGGCACGTAACTTTTTGTGTAATTAGATAACATCTAATAGGAAACGGTCACCAGTGGCTCAAATCATCGTGTCATTGCTGAAACACAAAAGTAAAAGTAAAGTGCCATCCCTGAACAAGATTCTTATCTACCCATTCCAGATAACAGTCAGGGAGAAGATATAGATTAACTCCTTTTTGTCTAGAGCGGGTGGATTCGAATCCTTGTCAGGGAAGGCGTCACACATTTATATAAGTGTGTATCACATATTACCCTGCTGCATTTATATACTATTCCCATATGTGAGGAGAACAAAAGAAGCGTCACAAATCCTTTCTCTTTGAAAATTCTGGAATCTTAATCCATTTTCCATCACAGTTGCCTCTTGCTAAGGTCCTGAATACCCCCCCCCCCCCCCCCCCCCCCCCCCCCCCCCCCCCCCCCCCCCCCCCCCCCCCCCCCCCCCCCCCCCCCCCCCCCCCCCCCCCCCCCCCCCCCCCCCCCCCCCCCCCCCCCCCCCCCCCCCCCCCCCCCCCCCCCCCCCCCCCCCCCCCCCCCCCCCCCCCCCCCCCCCCCCCCCCCCCCCCCCCCCCCCCCCCCCCCCCCCCCCCCCCCCCCCCCCCCCCCCCCCCCCCCCCCCCCCCCCCCCCCCCCCCCCCCCCCCCCCCCCCCCCCCCCCCCCCCCCCCCCCCCCCCCCCCCCCCCCCCCCCCCCCCCCCCCCCCCCCCCCCCCCCCCCCCCCCCCCCCCCCCCCCCCCCCCCCCCCCCCCCCCCCCCCCCCCCCCCCCCCCCCCCCCCCCCCCCCCCCCCCCCCCCCCCCCCCCCCCCCCCCCCCCCCCCCCCCCCCCCCCCCCCCCCCCCCCCCCCCCCCCCCCCCCCCCCCCCCCCCCCCCCCCCCCCCCCCCCCCCCCCCCCCCCCCCCCCCCCCCCCCCCCCCCCCCCCCCCCCCCCCCCCCCCCCCCCCCCCCCCCCCCCCCCCCCCCCCCCCCCCCCCCCCCCCCCCCCCCCCCCCCCCCCCCCCCCCCCCCCCCCCCCCCCCCCCCCCCCCCCCCCCCCCCCCCCCCCCCCCCCCCCCCCCCCCCCCCCCCCCCCCCCCCCCCCCCCCCCCCCCCCCCCCCCCCCCCCCCCCCCCCCCCCCCCCCCCCCCCCCCCCCCCCCCCCCCCCCCCCCCCCCCCCCCCCCCCCCCCCCCCCCCCCCCCCCCCCCCCCCCCCCCCCCCCCCCCCCCCCCCCCCCCCCCCCCCCCCCCCCCCCCCCCCCCCCCCCCCCCCCCCCCCCCCCCCCCCCCCCCCCCCCCCCCCCCCCCCCCCCCCCCCCCCCCCCCCCCCCCCCCCCCCCCCCCCCCCCCCCCCCCCCCCCCCCCCCCCCCCCCCCCCCCCCCCCCCCCCCCCCCCCCCCCCCCCCCCCCCCCCCCCCCCCCCCCCCCCCCCCCCCCCCCCCCCCCCCCCCCCCCCCCCCCCCCCCCCCCCCCCCCCCCCCCCCCCCCCCCCCCCCCCCCCCCCCCCCCCCCCCCCCCCCCCCCCCCCCCCCCCCCCCCCCCCCCCCCCCCCCCCCCCCCCCCCCCCCCCCCCCCCCCCCCCCCCCCCCCCCCCCCCCCCCCCCCCCCCCCCCCCCCCCCCCCCCCCCCCCCCCCCCCCCCCCCCCCCCCCCCCCCCCCCCCCCCCCCCCCCCCCCCCCCCCCCCCCCCCCCCCCCCCCCCCCCCCCCCCCCCCCCCCCCCCCCCCCCCCCCCCCCCCCCCCCCCCCCCCCCCCCCCCCCCCCCCCCCCCCCCCCCCCCCCCCCCCCCCCCCCCCCCCCCCCCCCCCCCCCCCCCCCCCCCCCCCCCCCCCCCCCCCCCCCCCCCCCCCCCCCCCCCTTTTCTCTTTGAAAATTCTGGAATCTTAATCCATTTTCCATCACAGTTGCCTCTTGCTAAGGTCCTGAATACGTTCATGGTGCGTATGTGTGCTTTGGGTAGAAGTATATGTAAGTATATATACATACATATATATATATATATATATATATATATATATATATATAACGTTTGCAGTGTATGTATGTAAGCATTTACACTCATAAACTTGCACTGTATACAACTATGCATATGTACATTCTTTTTTTACTTGCAAAAATCACATAACGCTAGGTGTGTGAGTAAACTATGTACATAGATAAATGCATGCGTATGTGTTTAGATATGCAAACCCATGAACTATATTTCAAAATGGCTGTCGTACCTTTCTACTACATATTCTAATTATTTATTTTCATTTTATATGTAAGCAGATATTTGTATGTATATATGTATATGTATATAAGTATGTATACACACACATACGTATGTACACATGTATATAGCATTTCACCATTTTTTTTAGAAACTTCTAAAGGAAAGTGAAAATATATCAATAGAGAGTTCTTACCCATTCTGCTTTTGCAACATACATGAGGTTACGACTAGCTATTGCCACTAATAATGATAAACAATACACATGTTCATCTAATTAAGGGCTACTGAATAATAATAAAAATGAAATAGAGTGCTGAGTGAACGGCCATACAGGGAACATCTCTGATGTTGTGTTAGATATCCTCTGAAGGTCGTGACGTCATTGCGCAGAGTGGAGCTTAGAGTATATAAAGTGAAGGCATTCTCCGTTCTCCATCAGTTAGAAGCTCATCCTCAACATGTCTCCCAAGGTAAGTCAACCAAGTTAACCTGCAACTCATCAGAAACAGAATGCAAACAAGGCTTTGTATCGCGATAACCGCAGTTATATTATACTAAATGTAATTTTGAAATATGTTTCAGTTCATCATCATTGCCGCATTTGTGGCCGTGGCCCTTGCCCGCCCTGATCAGGCCCCAGCCTATGGTTATGCAGCCCCTACACCTGCTCCTGCACCTGCCAAGTACGACTTTAATTACGCCGTCAAGGACGAGTATTCCGGTAACGACTTCGGCCACCAGGAGGCTCGCGACGGTTATGACACCCAGGGTTCCTACTACGTTCAGCTTCCCGACGGTCGTCTGCAGAAGGTCACCTACACTGTCAACGGCGACTCTGGCTTCGTGGCCGAGGTCAGCTATGAGGGCGAGGCGCAGTACCCTGCCGAACAACCTGCTTACAAGCCCGCCCCTTCATATGCTTAGATCGAAAATCTAATTCGGCTATG